TGTTTACAGGATATGTTTGTATGGAAGACCTCATCAGATATATTACACTCAATGCCAAAGACTGGAGGTAGCATTGGACCCATTGATACTGGAACCATTAAAAGAGCATTCATGTAAGAGAGAGAGAGAGAGAGGGGGAGGGAGGGAGAAAAAGAAAGTGTTTGTGTACATGTATTACATCAATCTATTATTTCTTGATTATTAATTATTAGTGATAGTATTAAAGGAATGAGAAGGAAAGTGAAGAGAACTATATCAAATCGTTCCAATAGAAGACCATTCACACCATTGAGGTACTTATAGATATACTGTATAGAGAGAGAGACTAGTGACATATTATGATATTATTGTGGTACATATTGTATTTATATTATTAGTAAAAATGTTGATCAGTTAGACACAATGGATGAATCATTTACTGATCTTGTAAGTAATATAGTATTAGTAAGAATACTATGAGTGACATACCCTCCCTCCCTCTCTCTCCTCTCATAGGATTCTACTCTCAATACTTGTACACTATCAGTAGCTCCTCCTTTTCCTCCTACTCCAATGAGAGCTCCTCCCACTAAAAGACAAGCATTTAGGATATGGACATTCATTTAGTTCAATGGATCTCACTAAATTAGGATCCACTGGTACACTCTAATACTGCATGTACACATTAACTATTATTATTATTATTATTATATTTTTAATTCTCTCTCTCTGTTTCTAATGAGATGTGACGTTATTATTGTAATCTTGTCTTCTCTCTATTTCTTTACAATTATTAAGTTAACAATTTAACACTACAGTAACTGGATGTCCTAGTATTCAATTCCTTTGCTCTCAGCATCTTTTCTTTCTGTATGATCGTTACAAATCTTATCTTCATCATAACTAATGCCTCATTTTGTCTCCAAGGGTCAAGTTTTAATTTATACTTACTTGAGGTACATGTAGTATACATGTACATGTACAGCATTAGTTCAATTGCTACTAAGCATGGTAGATCTCAATGACATCAATTACAATTTGTCAGTATATCAAATGCTACTTGCACTAGTTTTTAATGCCAAACAACACAATAATAATGATAGTACAAACTATACTACTGTCAGCTTTAGCATTACGTGTACGTATATATTAACTACAATAACTACAGTGTAGACTATTAGTCATATGTAGATCTAAATTTTTAAACTGTTGCTAATGCACTTGCTACTTCTTCTTTGAGTTCTGTTGCTTCTTCTTTTTTAAGTGGTGGGACTTGTGGCATCAAATTGTAATTCTCTTCATCAGGATAGATATCCTGAAATATGTACTTAATTATCTATTTCTATTAATATTACTCATACCCCTGGAATAAGTTGTTCATCACTTATTAATTCTCGTAGTACTCTATTAAAATTGGTTATTACAATACAAGTAATAAAATTAATTAATCATAACTTACTCTTGTACTTCCTTTATAAGGACTCTGTCACCACTTACAAGAAATATACGTAGTTGTTTACCAGCAGATGGTGGTGGTTGTGCCTATTGTATTAATGTATATTTGGTCATTTTAGTGATACTTTTAACTGACCCATTCATGAGTCCATTGTCCTGTTCTTCCATCACTAGTGTAATAGTATTGGGTGAGAGCATTCCAATTCTCATATCCATGTTTTATAGGCTACATGTATGATCGTAATCATAATTATGTATAAGTAGTATGAAATATTGTCTTACATCAATTATCAGTTCATTACTAATATCACAACTTTTAATTCTTTGTACAATGTGCTGTGTCTAGAAATACAATTATGAAACGTAATTATCTCTTATTAAATCATTTTACTATTCTATCTTCATTCCATTCATCTGTTGGTGTAACATAACCAATCTGTCCAATAACTTTCATGGTGTTCAAACACTTCAACAATACTTGTACCTGTACAAAATCACTTCAGATAATTTATAGTTGTTACTGACTTCAGGATCATCAACCAAGAGTTTGATATTATTAAGAGCACTGTCAGTGAGTTCAGTATAACCTGACATGCTCTTTGTAGCTTGAGATATAGTCACTCGTCTACAGTGTACCCTAGCTGATGCATAGCAATTTAGTAAAACCTATACCTGGATTTATCTTTGATTATTGGGATTTGATTTGACTTGACTAATATTCTTCTTATCCTGACAATATTTAGTTATTATTGAAGTGTAATGAGATACAATTCAGATGCTTACATTATAGCAGCCATCCTGCTCTTGCGTGCATAATACAAGTCCCTGTGAAGACTATGACGAGTTCTAAATAAATCATTGCATATCTCTAAATCCTAAAAATAGTATGTTTCTTATAATTTATAATTATTCATTATTGTACTGACATCTTTTGAAAAACACTTATGTGATTCACCATCATGACACCTCAAGACATGAACTTGGTTTTAAAATGCCCTGTAATTGTAAATAATTAGAATAGATAATTTTGCTTCAGTTTGATAGCCATTTTGAATGTGCTCATGTTAGTGACATACATATCACAACAAATTTGCCAAATACCGAGTACATGTATTTTTTATACATGGGAAATTAATTTAAATTACAATAATCTTACTTCCATCGAAAAGTGACATTCATTCCCAATACAGCTGCATCTCTCACTGTACTTTCGATCATACACACATCTAACCCGCTCTTTTTATTATATACAATCTGATATATTATTCAATTATGGTTGTACATTTGAATTGCATCATACCTTATGTAGGAATTTTTTATCTTTACGCTGTTCCTACAAATATAATTATTATAATAGTAATATGCCAAGGTGATAGTTTAAACTATATGTGAAAGTATTATGCTTTGTATACTCAGCTTGTTAGGTTATGCTGCTATAGCAGCTTATAATCATGATTTCTAGTGATTTTTAGTACTGAATACCTGCAGTGTCTCTTGTGGTGCAACCCTTAAATTTTTCAAGCAAACTGAAATAAGTAACTTACATATCCTGTTCCTTGGATAAGCTCTTTGATGAATGCAATATCTTCCTTGGGATTATCAAAATGTTTTTCAAAAGAAGCCATTAAACCTTCATTATCTTCTAACATATAGTGAAACATCTTAACTGATGCTTCTGAAACATTCTATTAAAATTATAAATTTAGCTAATGATTAATAATAATTTACCTTCCAAGGCTTGCCGGATTTATTTTTTTCATGTATTGCATCTAAGAACATATCAAAAGTGTGAGAGAAAGGCCCATGACCCAGGTTATAACAAAGAGCAGCAATTTGTACACACAAAACATCAGACTCAGTAATATTCAGCTCAGGTTGTCTCCTTTGAAGTTGCTTAACATACTCTCCAGCAAGATAATACATTCTGAAATATCAAGTTACATACAAGCTTATATGTTATTTCGGTATTTCTTAATTTTTACCCAATACTGTGTTCCATCCTTGAATAATTTGCTTTTGGTATATTTTGGTATGTGTGACCTATTGTATAAACATAAAATTTATTTCATTTCTAATGTATGATTAGCTAATACCTAATTTTTTGATTTCTTTCAGCCTTTGAAATTGATGTGTGTGTACAATTTCTCTAATCAATGGATGGTCAATAGTTATGCCACCATAAATGTCATCTTGAAATATCTGTATCATTGAGAATAATTCAAGTTTACATGAGTATAACTTGCTTACAAGTGGATTTTTCTCTTGTGAAGAAGCTATAATAAAATTTTAAAGTTAATGTTACACAGAAAATTGCATGCCCAGTACTTTTCCATAATTTTAGTATTTTTATAAAATTTTTAGATACTTATATACCTTGCAGTTTTTTATTTTTCATTAGTTGTTCATTCAGTACTTTTATTTCCTCTTTTAATGAAGCTATTTCTTGTTTACTGTTAGCTGTGATCATGATATTAAGTGACATATTATAGTTTTATAGAGTTACCTTGCATTGCTTTTTCTTTCTCAATTTGTTGTAAGTTCATTGTTATTTTTTCTTGCAATAATTCTATTTCTTTTTTACTCTCAGCTGTAATAAAGTTTAATCATAATTCCTATCAATTTAACTAGTCAATGGACTGACCTTGTACTTCATTGATTTTATCATTTTTTTGTTTTAATTCTCCTTTTAAACTTTCAATTTCAAATGCCATTCTCCATTGTATTGCTAAAATATAAATATTATCTTACATAAAAGTAGAATTATTAAAACTTTTATTAACTTTTTTGAGTTAACTGTAACATTTATTTTTATTAATGAATGAGTCATTAACTCTATTATAGCATTATACATACCCTCATTCTCTTCCTGATGAGATGCTCTATCATGCTTTTCAATTGTACCTAGATCTACAATTGACCCGCTTTCTGACTGTTTGATTTCTTTGTGAATTGAATTTAGTATATTTTATATGCAAACTTGCATGTGCATACCGTCTTTCTCTGATTGAAATAAAGCAAGCTGCTCTTCTAATAATTCTTTTATTTCTTTCAAATTCTCATTCTCCTATTACCATTATAATCAGTAATAAAATAGTCCAAATTTCTTGCTAACTTCTTCACGTTCTGTTAGTAGTGATATTTTTTCTTTTAGTGACTGACTAGTCTCAGCTAATTAAAATCAAATAAACTATCACAAAAGTTATTTATTATACCTGCTATTTTTTTAAACCTCTCACTCTCTGCTATACTGGCAGTCAGCATCTTATTTTTAGTGTCTTGTTTTTCCTTCAATGACTCTGCTTCTTTCTTCATTGTCATACTTTCCTATAAATTAATAAATTAAGAATTGATACAAATCATAACTAATTGTTCATGCCACATATTAGAAGAGCTTATTAGTCATACCTCATTTAAAGTAGTAACCTTCTCTGTACTATTAATCAGTTGTACACACAATGACAGCATCAATTGTTTCATTAAACCACTACTAGTTGATAATGATGAGGTGTATTCATCTATTTCTGTTGTAGTAGCAGTGGAGGTGTCCTTTACCTGTTATTAATAATAACATCACTTCATAAAATAGTCTATTTACCTCATACACAGTGCAGTATCCAATGGTTAATCTCTTCACTTTGTTTTCTTTCAATACATCAATATTATTAAGAGCAGCTGTAATTAACTGCTCAGATAGAATCAAAGGGAAGGAACAAGTGATAGTGAAAAAATTGCCATCTCGAACGACATTTAATCTGACATGTCGTGAGAAATTTTTAAATACTGCTGACGAAAGCATTCTGACATCATTAAGCACTGACTGGTTAGCATCCTCATCAACAAAAATTGTAATCCTTTCACACTCAAGTGGCGAAGTATGTGAAATTGTTTCATTCAGACACTGACTGAGTTTTGTTTCCTTTAGCTCCTCAATCGCCTTTTTATATTTTTTAATAGCTTCTTTAGCCTCCTCTATATTAAACTCATTAACGAAATACTCCAGCACACTAATATCATCAAGTGGACAGCTATCACAAACTAACTGTAGAATGCTACGAATATCTTGACACTGAGCTACTTGTGGCCTTAATGTTTTGTCGTATGCACCCAAAACATATTTGATATTATCAAGTGATGGGGACTGAGGGTTGCTCATCATGATTGATCCCACTTTAAAGAATGTCTGGCCCAAACTTAATCGCATCATCTTAAACTCTGAAGTAACATTCATAGGAAGAAAAATCTTGAGTCCTACTTAAGTAATATATGTTATCATAAGAAGCTAATCCTTACCATTGGCATCATTTGCTTGAATGAAGTCATCACTGCAATAAGTCCTTCCTATAAAACTATTATTTACTTGTTTGCTCCAATATACTTACTGTATTCTTTGGTGATAGTACTTCCTATCTCAGCAGTGGCTGTTACTTTGCACAAAATCTCAGCAAATGCTTTGAGTATTTGGTAATCATTGCAAACAGCTTCTTTTATTTCAATCAACAGGGCCTCTCCGTGTATATTAGCCGGGAGGATCATATCTTTTATCAATTTCGCTGTATGCAAAAGTAGAACCAACTGAGGCAACGCAGACACAAGTGACTGTTGAGCTGAACAACGAGCGAGAATTTTACATGCTGGATGCTCTATAAAGAAATAATAAACTATGCTCATTTTTATTAAACTCACTCTCCATATCTATTCCATGAGCTACTCCATTCTCTCCTAATTCCCTCAATGCTGATACCAATGAATAGATACTAGGACCACCTTTAGTCTTTTGTACATCATCAGCTTTTAGTAACCATTTACTGAGACATTCACTAAGACACCTTCCAGTATCTCCTCTGTGGTCAGCCTCAATGAGATGCATTGTATTAGGAGAAAGACCAAGAAAAAGACCAAGATTATAGTAACTGGTTCCTGAGTAACCATGTCTTCTGAGTAATTGAAGTGCCTCAGCAAGATCATTAGCTATTAAATAATTATTGTATTTAGTATAAGGAATAAGTAACTAAACATACTTTGCAGTTGATTTGTATTGTCTGCTGGTCCAGGAGAATCCATTGAGCTCAAGTTTTGCAAACAAGGGCGGGGCTCAATAACAACGCCCACGTGATCTGATCTAATAGACCTCTTCAGGTGAGATTGACGGTGGCCTATGAATATCATTACTGTTCATTACGGTATCCACCTACGGTGATAATTGGCCGCCATTTTGGACGGCAAGATTCAATGGAGGATGAATGAAGAAAAGGCAAAACTGATTCTTTTCGTTGGCATGGAGCTTTTTCAAGCTACAAAAGCTGGTTGGAGGAAAGAATGGTCACTGCTAAGCATCTCCTAAAAGAGATTTGGTGCAATATGAAGCATATTCTTTAATAGAGCTTGCTTTCTGCATTAGCCCATTCATACTCCATAGAAAGTTGCCGTCCACGAAAATTATTTCAGAGTCAGCCAGGCTCAGTCACGCCCCTTGCCGTATATCATTTTTTAACGACCTGGGGGCGAAGCCCCCAGGTCGTTCCTATAATTGAATTCACCGTCGCGCTATGTATATATATATATATATTTATTTGTATGTCCACACTTACATTTCTTCTATACACGTTGTATTGGAGAAATAACAAGCCTTAGCAACCACCCGCCCACGCTCCTTTACGTGAGTGGGTGTGGTCACGGCAAACAAAATGGCGGCTTACACATGGGACAAAGTTAAAAGCTTTCTAACAGCAAGAGAACATAGAGATACTGTCTAAAGACTTCTCTAGAAGCATTATAAGGTAGAGAGAACCTCTATAAGTCTTAATAATGACCAAGTTGTACTTGCAAGGTGGTGAAATCAATTATAGGAATATTTTTTACCCTGTTACGCTTGTTGACGTAATTCATTCTCACCCAAAGAGGTCTATTAAAGTAGGAGGAGCTAAGCCACCCTAAAATGCAAAGCTAAATTTTGTGATGCTTGATTGAGCTTAAAGGCTTGAACTGAGTGAGTCTGAGGTAGTCTCATCTTTTGTAAACTGATAATTCTATTTTATGTACTGTTAGTGTCTATATATTTATCAGTAGTACTGGAGTAACTGATGGATCAGTGATACAATCATTGATACAAGTTATGACTGATGAGAATTACCAGCTCACTGGATCCTGACTCTAAGAAGTTAGTCTATAATTATTATTTATTTATACTACTGTATGGGTACAAAATATCCCATGGGATTAATTTTTATTATTTTTGTTGTGTGAAGTTTTAACCCAGTGAAATTCTTCATATGACCCTCACCTTATAGTGCTTTAAAAAGAAAAAGTAAAATTAAAAAACTATAAAATTGATAATTTCCCAAAAATCATAAAAATTTAACACCACAAATATTTGTACCAGTACAGTATCTGTTATTGTTATTGCTGTTGTATGAGGAAGAAGGAGAGAGAGTAGTTCCGACACGACACTTTCATGTATTGTATTTTATAAAAAATTTGCCAATTTTAAAAAATGGCCATAACTTTAAAAGTTATAGCGTTGGGTATTTTTTTAATTGACCATTTAAAAATGCTCATAGCATAAAAAATTGAAGTTGAAATTGGCTCAAACTTTTTACATAGCAGAAGGACATCAATATGCATCAGAAAATGTAAAAAGTTGGGGATGATTTCAGAGTGATTTTTAACTTAGAAAGAAATTTTTCAGAAATAGTAATTATATATTTTTATTCATAACTCAATGACTCTCCTCCCTATAGTCTCAGTCTGAGGAGTTATTACGTGTGTATCCTCCATATATAAATTATTTTGAAGTCACTAAGGATGCTCTTAGTTCCTGTGATCGTCAGTTCCCAAGGTTTCATGCTTTCCTTAAGTGTAATGAGTCCAAACCAGAGTGTGGCCGCCAGACACTATCAGAACTACTGATAACACCAGTACAAAGAATACCAAGGATCATATTATTACTACAAGGTACATGTATATTATATAAATACTAGTATTTACATGTACTGTACATTGTAATTTAGCTGATGTTGGGTAAGATAATTCCCTCATTTTGATAGCCTTTTTCCAAATAAAGCCCATTCATCATTTTGAACCATATATGCACATGTTCAATGGGACATGTGAATATATATTAAAACCTGCCAATCACCAAAAATTAAGCAATACACCAAAATTTCATCTCTAGACAATTACAATGGTCACTGTACAGTCCATCTACATGTACTGTCTGCATGTACTACATATACATGTATGTGTACATGTAGTACATGCAGACAGTACTTGCACATTTTTTATTGTTATTTATTATTATTTTTATAGATTTATTAAAGCGTA